ACGCGTGTCGGGGGACCCGCCGCCCTGCCTTCCCTCTGGGAAGCAGAAAAGCTCTGGCTCAGCAGAGCCGCAGTTGCCATGTCCAGCTGGAGCCGCCCCCCGAGGGCCGTGCACGCTGCCTCCAGCACGCTCCCTGGCCAACACGCTTCTTAACCGAACGTACCCAGTTTGTGGGGCTGGGTTGTGGGTACGGTACGGTACGCTTGGGGGCACACCTCCTGCGCACACACGGATCCATCGGGCAGCAAAGGGGGGAAGGAGGTGCCTTACAGGGTAACAGGCAGAACCTCCCATCAACATTTCCTGCTGTTAGACCTCCCACGAGGGGCTCCCTGCTCTCCCCTGTGCTTTGTCCAGCTCCTGGAGATGCCACCTCAGCCCCGAAGGTCAGTGCCCCAACATCAACCGCTTCCTGTGAGCATCACTGTTGTTCACAGCACAACTGCGGGCAGCTTCTGCTGCTGCTTCCGCTGCTGCTTCCACTCTGGCTTCTTCCAACTTGAGCCAAGAGGCACAGCGGCCAGCCCGCACCTCGCTCCAGGCACAGGGCTGGGCAGACACCGGCACCACAGAATTCCTGAGTGCTTGTGTGGCTCCGTAACGGGCACGCCGCAGGGTCCCGAGGGCTGGGTGTAACTACAGGCAGGTGATGAGCAAAGCCCAGGCCTGGCTTGACAGCTCACCTGGCAGCACCTCCCTCCCAGGCCCCCCAGCATCCCGGCCTTTTGCCCGGCTGGAGTAGAGGTGCTGCTACGGTGAGCCCCGCAACGCTCCCGCTGTCCCACCACCACCTGCGTCACAGCACGCATGAGGAAAACACTCATGGGGTCTGGTTCTTCTCATCACAGAGAGAGCCCATCACGTGGAGCCCACCTGACCTGGTGGTGAGGGGTCCCAGTCCGGGTCCTACACATATAATCCATACTCCGTAAACCCTTGGAGGGAGTATCCCATCCAGACACCCAACATGCCTGATGCTTTCTAGCCATGGGGGTGGGTGGAGCACCGAGGGGCTCGTGTGGGGCAGAGAACAGCGGGACAAAGGGAGAATTTTCAAACCAACACACGAGCAACGCTGGGACCTCTGCAAAGTGAGTGAGTCAGCCCTGGCCCTGGAAACGCTTCTCAGGCAGCACTTGATGGAAAGAGCCTGTTGGCTCCTGGCAGCTGCTGGGCAGTGAAAGGCTCCCAGACAACAGACACTGCGCTTGGGACAGAGACAAGCAAAAGGAAAGGGTAAGAAACCTGGCCCAATTGGTGTAACTGGGCCAGTGAGCACAAAGCACTTGTCAGGAGGCTCAGGGCACCCTCTCATGATGTTCTCTTTTCAGAGCCCCAGCTCATGGAGTTGCACAAACGCATAAAAACCTCAGTGCTGGCACAAAGATGATTTTTTTCCTCTTCATCTCACAAAGAAACCTTGAAAATAACATGTCCGACAGGCTCAGAGACCAAAGGAGAGCTGAACAGAACGTGTGCCTACTTGTACGTTCTTTATAAAGCTCCGTGTTTTAAACTCGGTCTCCTAAATTACACAGCCAAACACACGTCTGTGTCAGATGTGTGTCCTGAAAAAGCCATGCTCATTTCCACCCTATTTTTAGAAGACAAAAACCTGCTCACCTCACAGCCAACCTGCTTTCCTGCCACAGCCTGACCTTCTCTGCGCTGCTCCGCTCTCGCTGCCACTCCAGCCCCTGCTCCTGGCACCCACTACTCTGAGCAGTCTTGTGCTGCGGCGCTTGCCGCACTCGGAGGGATGTCGGGGTCTCCTCCTTTCCTGTTTGTACTTCACGTTCATTTGAAAACCGATGAACAAACCCATCAGTTCAAACGGAACGTTTTGAGCCCTTTTATGAAGGTACTTAAGTGCACGAGTGCGACCTCAACACTTTAGTGCTTCTCTCCAGCTTGGTTTAAACAAAGGACCTCAGCACCGTATCGTAAAAAAAGACACGAAACTGAAGTGCAAACACAGACCTGACCGGCCTTTCCTGTCCCATCTGTCAGACGGCTTCCTCAATTTATCCCTGTTCTTCCTACGGGTCAGCTAGCTGTCTGCCTGCTGGCGCTTTTCTATTGTTTATCCATCCTCCTGGCTTCTCACCACACCATCCAAGAACTGTACAAAATCCAGAAGTTCTTCCTCCATGGCAACGCTATGAGAAAAACTGGCAATACTTTAACTTGCTGTGAAAGCCTCCCCCAGGGCTCTGCGTGGCCAGCTCTCCAGGCTCTTACAAGGCTCCCTCAGTAATGTCCATCAGAGTCTTCCTCCTGGAGATGCTGGCAGAGGCAGAAGACCTTGTGCCAACCTCACTGTTCAGAAGGCCAGACCTTCAAAAGATCTGTAGTGAAAAAATCCAAGTATATTTTGCGTTCCTCTTGCTAGTTTACTCTCTAAGCCTAAGTTCATATTCTGCAGCCTTTCTCTCAGCAACCATTAACATAAGAATGTTTCTTCCTTAAATAATGACGGAGATCGCCCAAGAACCGCTAAGTTCAGAGAGCTGAAGCTTCGGGAAAACATCACAAGACAGACAGTAAAACCACAACAGCTGGCCACACCGCAGGAGCAGCATCCCTCCCGTAGTCCTAAGGACTTAGAAACGCATCGGTGCTTACATATCCGTTCTTCCAGGGCAGGGACCGGTGTGGCAGGGGCCTCTGCAGCCTCCGATGGGCATTCTTCCAACGGGCAGCGCTGATCATCCATCCGGTTGCTCTGGAACTTGCTCAGCAGGTCAAAGAAGCATTCCTCATCCGAAGGGGTCCGGTTGATTTTCTGGAAAGATAGTAAAATCCAGAAGAGAGTCAGAACACCCCAAACAACTCCCCGTGTCCGATGGCTCCATCTGGCACGGTCTCAGCAGTGTGTCATGCTGTCCCCTGGTCTGTTCAGAGCTCGGCTCCTGGCTGTGCCCACGGCTTGCCAAGTCCCGCAGCCTGAAGCCTGACAGGGGTCACTGCTACATGGTCCCTCTGCCCTCCTGGCTCTGAAATAACCTCTCCCTTCTTCTCTTGCCACCCTTCAGTGCAGACAATCTAACACCATTCTCCTAGAGGAGGCCACAGGCAGAGCATCACAAAGGACCCCTCTCCCGCAGGGACCCCCGAGTGGGAGCGAGGTGAAGAGCTGCTCTGCGACTTGTGCTCCGCAAGATGGGGCATCCATGGAGACCTACAGCCCCTCCAACAGGTCACTTGTGCTGTGACTGATCCCAGAGGCTCTGGGCACTTCTGCAGCCCAAACCAGAGCCAGGCTCCCACCAGCGAGCAGACGAGCCTCGCGCAGAGCAGCCTCCATTGCTGCGCAGCACCTTGAGGGCTCAGAACAAACTGGAGGCTGAGAGGGAA